CCCGCGGCGCTCACCCGGCCAGGCTCCCGCGGCGCTCACCCGGCCAGGCTCCCGCGGCGCTCACCCGGCCAGGCTCCCGCGACGCTGCGTGCTCGCGGCGCTGCGCCCACAGTCTCCGTGCAGAGCCCGCGCGCAGCGTGGCTGCCGCCTCCCGGGGCGTAGCCAGGCGGGGCGGGGCTGGGCTCCGGGACCGCCCCGTGCCCGCCCCGCCCCGCCCTTTCCCCGCCTCCAGCTCCCGGCTCGAGAACATGGGCGTTGTCCGGGACCGCGGCAGCAGACCCTCACGGAGGGGAAACTGAGGCTGGTCAAATAGGGAGAGGGTGCAGGGGGCCTCCCTGCTGGTGGGGAAAGGACGCAAAGCCCCTGCGGGCCAGGCCTATCCTGCCGCACAGTGGTCCTAGAACCCCAAGAAACAATGTTTCTTTACCCCTTCCCCTTCCGTCTGTTTACAACACAGTAGTTATGTAGAATTGTGTACCTGCCCCACCCCCACCAAATTGACGTGTTGAAATCCTACCCCCACCCCCTCCCCGTACCTCAGAGTGTGACCTTGGAAACAGGCATTACAGATGTGATTAAGGATAGGTAATAGAGAGCAGGGCCTAGTCCAATAGGACATGCCCTCGTGGAAGCTGGAAATGCGGGCACAGACGTGCACGCAGGGAGAGCATCACACGAAGATCGGAGTTATGCTGCCACAAGGCAAGGAAATCCAAGAAGCCAGGAGGGAGGCCTCTCACAGACCCAACCGAGCGCCTTCGGAGGGAGAGGGGGCCTGGTGGGACCTTGACTTCAGCCTCTTCAACTGGAGACAGTCCGTTTCTGGTGTTTCACGCCGGTCGGTGTGTGGTACTTTGCCATGACAACACCAGCAAAGCAAGACAAACCCCAGAGGCCATTATCTCTGTGTCTGTAGAGGTGACACGGAAGGGCGGCTACCCGAGGCAGTGACCAGACCGAGATCCACTGAGGCAGGGGCTGCGGTCACTGCTGCCTCCCTGGGCCCAGCAAGGAGACCGGCCAAAGCGGCAACTTGTCAAGCCTCAGTGAACCGTGGTTTGCTTGCTTGTTTGTTTGTTTGTTTGTTTGTTTGTTTGTTTTAAGTAACTGATGAATTTTTACTTCCTTCTTGAAGATCTAGAACATTTCCTGCACCCCAGATGTCCCCCCTATGCCTCTCAGGGCAGGCTAACCACTATTCTGACTTCTATTGCCAACAAGAGTTTTGCCTGTTCTTGAACCGGATGTAAATGGAATTGCACACTGTGTACTCTTCTTTTGCCAGCCTGACATTGTTCATAAGATTGAGGCATCTTGTTGAATGAAAAAGATAAATATCCTAAATATTTCACATTTTTTAAATTGTGGTGTAGAAATGTACATGGTACAAATGTCTCACAAACGTATCAGACTGTACAGTTATATCACAATGCATTTGTCCATTCTACCAGTGGTGGACATCCAGGTTGTTTCCAATTTTTGGTTCTTATGAAAAAATAATGTGAAAAATGTTCGGTTCCTTTTTTTTTTTTTTTAATTTCTTTTCAGCATAACAGAATTTATTGTTTTTGCACCACACCCAGTGCTCCTTGCAATACGTGCCCTCCTTAATACCCACCACCTGGCTCCCCCAACCTCCCACCCCCCACCCCTTCAAAATGAAAAATGTTCATTTCTTATGAATAGTCTCCTATAAATCTTTTTTATTTTTATTTATTATTTATTTTTAAAGATTTTGTTTATTTATTTGACAGAGACAGAGAGATCACAAGTAGGCAGAGAGGCAGGCAGAGAGAGAGGGGGAAGCAGGCTCCCCGCCAAGCAGAGAGGCCGATGCGGGGCTCCATCTCAGGACCCCAAGATCATGACCCGAGCCGAAGGCAGAGGCTTTAACCCACTGAGCCACTTATAGGCGCCCCTATAAATCTTTTTTTAAAAATATTGTATTTATTTGACAGAAGCACACATAAGCAGGGGGAGGGGCAGAGGGAGAAGCAGGCTCCCTGCTGAGCAGGGAGCCTGATACCCTGGGATCATTACCTGAGCCCAAGGCAGACACTGAACCCACTGAGCCACCCAGCCACACCTCCTGTATGTCTTCTATGGAATACAGGCATCTGTTTCTCTTGGAGTGGAATTTCTGGATCATTAGAGTAGGTATACAGTTTTCCCTCAGTAAAAACTGTCACACAGTTTTACAAAGTGGTTGAAACAATTCACACCCCTCCCCTGCAGCAAAGCATGAGAGTTCTAGTTGCTCCATATCTTGATAGTGTCAGTCTTTTTACTTTTTGTCATTCTGGTGGGTGTACAGTGGTATCTCATTGTGGTTACAATCAGCATTTCACTGATGGGCAAAGCTGCTGAGCACCGTTTCATATACCTGTTGTCCATTTGTACCTGTTTGTTTTGTCTATTTAAAAGAATTAGAATATTTATCTTTTTCTTATTATCTTATCTATTTTTTATGTTTTTCTTATATAAATACAAAATATGTTCTTATATATAGGAATATAAATATACTTATTTCTTATATAAAGAACTTTTGGAGTTCTTCATATATTCCACATATAATCTTTTTCATCTTTTTTTACAAGATTTTATTTATTTATTTGAGCGAGAGAAAGAGAGATAGTGAGAGAAAGCATGAGCGGGGAGGAGAGGGAGAAGCAGGCTCCTCGCTGAGCAGGAAGCCTGATGTGGGGCTTAATCTCAGGACTCTGGCATCATGACCTGGGCCAAAGGCAGATGCTTAACCGACTGAGCCACCCGGGCACCCCTGTATAGGAATCTTTTTTTGTTTGTTTCTCATAGGAATCTTTTTTTTTTTTTAAAGATTTTTATTTATTTATTCGACAGAGAGAGATCACAAGTAGACAGAGAGGCAGGCAGAGAGAGAGAGAGAGAGGGAAGCAGGCTCCCCGCTGAGCAGAGAGCCTGATGCGGGACTCGATCCCAGGACCCTGAGATCATGACCTGAGCCGAAGGCAGTGGCTTAACCCACTGAGCCACCCAGGCGCCCCTCATAGGAATCTTTTAATAAAATTTTATATCACCAAAAATGTACACACATACACATAGATGAACCAATCATCACTTCAGCTTAAAACTCATTTGGATTATAATTTAATTAAATTCAAGCCATTTTTTGTCTCAGGAGTGACCCCAGACCACATAATACATGACATATTCGCTTCTTATGTACACAGCAGGCGGGGCCCAGCAGACTCAGCCTGGTTTTCACCTGCTTGAGCAGAGCACTCTCTCTTTGCACTTGGCTCCGGAGCAGACCTGCAATCCAGTTCGGTTGAACAGGTAAGGGGGCAGGTGGGAAGCCCCACTTGTTTCTTCTCCCAAGATGGGCTGAGGCTGAATCTGCACCCCCCCTTACCATGGACCAGGGTGGTTGGAAGCACAGAGTGAGGGGGTCAGAGTAAAATAACATGCTCTGGCTGGTTTCTAGAGCTGGGCTTCCACAACCAAGCAGGATGCTCACAGTTTACTCCATCGGCCCCGTGGCAGGTCCTGGGGACCTAGAGATGGTTATAGGACACCAGCCTCATCCTGGGAGCACACAGTCAAGAAAAGTGGGCAGGGAAGCAAGGAAGCATGACACGGAGTGCTGGGTGTAATAAGTGGTCAGTGTCATGGCTATGAAAAGGGATGTTTGGCCAGGACACAATGGAAGGAAGGCGGGAGGGTCCCAGCTCTTGGTGGGTCTCAGGGGATTCTTCATAGTGGAGCTGATGCCATTTGAGCTGTGTCTTCATTGATGAGCAGGAGTCACCGGGCAGAGGGTGGTGAGAGGGCGTTCCAGGCAGGGCGTGATGCAAAGCTTCCCAGGGAGTGACAGTTCTGTGGCTGGAGTGTAGGGGGTGTTGGGGACAGGGCAGGAAAATCAGGGTGGACCCAGGATGACAGAGCTTTCCTTCCCTCAGCTTCCCGGGAGCCCTGGAGCCTGGGATCATGTTTCCTGGGCATGAACGCTGGGTTACAGCTTTCCCAGGGCCAATGTACGCTCAGTGAGTGAGTATTCGTAGGCTGGTCTTTCTGTATAGAGGAATCATTTCTGGTCCCCCTCCCCCATAGCCATTACTATGAAACCGGACATGCTGTCTGGCCCTTGGAGGATATATACAAGACGGAGAGGCTAACATCTCCTCTTACCTGAGAACACTTGTCTAAAGAGGAGTAACAGTTGGTTCTATGTTGTTTTTCTTCTGGAGTTGGGACCTAGTGGACAGGAGATGAAGTAAGATGGCCCCCTTGATGCCCAGATTTCTGGGCCTGGTGCGGAGAAGCAGGGCAGGAGCTCTTGGAGGAAGGCTCCCATAACCAGGGGGCACGTGGTCTTGAGGAGGCCCCGGGGTCTGGGTGGCCCGGAGCCACAAGGCATGTGGGAGGGGCTGCTTGAAGGGTATACCTGAAGGACTGGGCCTTCCAGAGGAATCTTCTGGCCTTGGTGATCTCCTGGGCCAATCTCCTTAAATCATCTCCTTCAAATGGTGGCAACACGGGATCCTTGGAAAGGGGAAATGAACGTGAAGTTAGATCCATTAAATGACTGGATGCAACCTGAAAATCCAAAATCTCAGTGGAAAAATTTTAGAGTTAATCAAATGTGGCCTTCTACCCAATGCAGGAAATCCATAGGCTTTGGTTTACATACCTCCAGGGACAAAGAGCTCACCACCTGTCAAGGCAGTCATTCTGCAGATGGAACACTTTGAGATAAGGTGTGTGAGGGTCTGTGCTGGGAATGGGTGGGCAGTGGCAACCCGAGATGCTCACTGAACTTCATTTAAGTCAGCCCCTCTCTTCCCAGCAGAACAGAAGTGGTACCTGCTCCTTACGTCACCGTTACCTGGTGAAATCTGTTCTTCCCTTTCCCTATTCCTTCTAGTAAAATCAAGTTTCGCAGGCATGCTTTTTTCATTATGTCAACCAATGGAATTCTAGAGGCTAGGGTTAAAGACACAAATTCTCACAATCAGCAAGAGAAGGTAAGGAGGAGAGGAAGCTGCGTTCTGCCCTTGGTGGCAAGAGCAGAATGATCCCATTCTGCATCCAGAAACTATTCAGAGACTCTGATTTGTCAAGGCATTAATCTGAAGATCCTCGCAATATTGTCCATTTGTTTTCCTGTGTTGTAAGGACATGGGTGAATATTTACTACTTTGACTTGTTCTGTTCTCTGAACTATTTGTAATGTTTGTCCCTAGAAGAGGTACCTGAACAAAGGAGTCACGCAAAGCACTGACTTCAAAAATTATGTCACGTCCTGGGAGATGTACTTCAACCACGAAAAAGAAATCTGGAGTTCTGGTTGTCTTACTTGATAATTTGTGGCCCTGAAAATGTTATAACTGACAGCACCATGTTCCTAAAAGGTAGAAACATGTGCATAACTTTTTGGACTGGTCAGAAGAGAATGGTGGGTAGTCTCCTCTTATCGCACATGTGTGATGGAAACCGTGACTTTACTAGATTTACTACTTTGATCATTTGAGTATCTGTTTCAAGTGACCTGAACACCGGGAGACAGAAATACGCAGGACTCAAAGCACAGAGGTTAACACTGTGGGTGTCCGGGCTCTGGCTTTACCATTTGCCATGTCCTTAGGTGTGTTCCTACTCCTTGCTGAGCCCATTTATTCATCTGTTTAATGGGTATAGTATTGGTTGAGAGGATTGAAAGGGGTAGCCTCTATAAAGCAATGACTGTGCACAAAGTAAGTGCTCAGTGAACGTGAGCTGTTCTGTTATTTTTTTTTAAGATTTTATTTATTTGTTTGACAGAGATCACAAGTAGGCAGACAGGCAGGAAGAGAGAGAGGAGGAAGCAGGCTCCCTGCTCAGCAGAGAGCCCGATGTGGGGCTCGATCCCAGGACCCTGGGATCGTGACCTGAGCTGAAGGCAGAGGCTTAAACCCACTGAGCCACCCAGGCACCCCTTCTGTTATTTTTTTAAAAGATTTAATTAATTAATTTTATTTTATTTTATTTTTTTAAGATTTTATTTATTTGACAGAGAGAGACACAGCAAGAGAGGAACACAAGCAATGGGAGAGGGAGAGAGAGAAGCAGGCTCCCTGCCAAACAGGGAGCCCGATGTGAGGCTCCATCCGGGGATCCCGGGATCATGACCTGAGCCAGAATCGAGACTCAGCCCAACTGACTGAGCCACTCAGGCACCCCAGAACTGCTCTATCATTAAACAAACCTCCGTGCCCCCCTCCGTGCTTCTTTCCACCCTGAGGAGAGCCAGCCTAGAGGAAAAGCTGCAGGGAGACAGAACCCCTTCTAGCCGGTACTTCCTGGTCTCACAAGAGAAGCAGAGATCTTTCCAGTTAAGGGAGATGGGGGAAAGAAACCCACCTCTGTGGACATTATATTGAGACATTTGAACAGACTCGGCTCTGTGGCCCTGCAAACCTACCCTTTCATCCACGAAGCCCTTGGTCAATAGGCCGTGGATTCTGAGGAGTGTGTCCTCGTCAACGGGGCAGTGGTAGCGGCCCCCAGTGAGGGTGGCCAGGTTTCTCAGGAAGTCAGCTGCTGTCCTAGTGGGGAGAACAGAGGCGCTGGGACCAAGCCCGCTGACAGCCAGGCAAATTCCCTGCGGTGGCCCCAGCCAATGGGGAGCTCAAGTCTGTGGGCCTGGAGGTTCTGTGCCCTTGACAACAGTCAGCATCACAGGTCCAGCCCCTGTCAGTTTATGGGCAGCGGCGGTGGCCGCAGGAAGTGGACTGACTGCTGTCACCAGTGAGCATGGAAACACACGGCCAGCCCATGGTCCTTAATCTAGCTAGTGCCTGCTCCTACGGGTTAGGCCTGGTGGGGACACAGGTGTGACCTTCATGGAGCACGTGGTTTAGACAGAGCTCAAACACGCACCCAAGTCATCAAAGTTTTGCCAGTGACATTAAAGTCTTTTTCCAAAGAAGCAGAATCTCTCTGGTCTAACCCATGTTCCTCTACATTGATGGTTTATAAAAACAACCGTCACGATGCTACTTTAAGCTCTTTGCCCCTCAACATTCACCAGTGGGCTCCTGAGAAAGATCAGGATGGAGAAGACCATGCGTGCCCGTGGGAATCGGCGCACATCCGCTTCCAGGCTGGAGAGAGTCAGGAGAGGGGGTTCTTGGATGTGGACAGAGGGCTTTACTCTGGGGTAGCACCTGCCAGGGCCCTTCTCCTTTCTCACTTACGGGTTGGGGCCCAGGAGAGATCAGGGTCTAAGGGGAGGCCCTGGATGGGGCGAGTTGCTCAGACCTTGGCCCTCACACACGCAGCCCTGGGAGAGGAACACAGCTCGGACCCGGCTCCTTCCTGCCTACCTGCCTGAGCGGTTCAGGGAAATGGTGTGGATTTTCACATCTCTTTTCTCCTTGAGTCTTTGAACTTCGCTCAGAATAAGGCTGCAGCTTGTATCCGGCTTCCCATCAGTCAGGAGGTACAATCCTTCCACATCATGAAAACTGAAAGCTTTCTGAAAGAGTGCGCACAAACAGATGGTCTGGCTCAGGGACAGGTGCTCACTGGGAAAGGAGAAAACCAGCTACCTGCCATGTGTCTGACTGGATCCCACTGGCTTGTCCGTGAAGAGCGAGAGGACATCCCCCCCAACCCCTCACATGTCCACAGACCAAGGAGGCTGCCAAGGTTTAGGAGAAAGAGCACAGCCCACTTCCTGGCTGGTTAACCCCAGCGAGTCCCTTAACCTCTCTGAGCCTCCGTGTCTTCATCTATAGAATGAGATGAGAACAAGAATCCCTTTCTTCCTTGGCTGTTCCGAAGACGAAATAAGGTAACCCTTATTCAATCTAAAACTGCTCTTTGTAATTTGGAAGCCTCAGGCTGTATCCGTATAGGGGGTGAGGGTATTTCTGTTTGGCTGCTGGGGCTGGGCTCCGTGGGAGGACTTGCCAGTAACGCTTGCAGGATGGAGGTGCCCCCCTGAGCGCCCAGGTGGGTCACCCACTGCATGGCCTCGTGGCATGCCGCGTCGGTGGTCTCCACCAGAGTGTCCCGCCACAGTCGCAGGTCCTCCGCAAAGCTGAGCAGGTTGAAGCTGGGGAGGAAGGGAGAGGAGGTGGGGGGCAGAGAGGAGGAAAGGGAGTAGCTAGAAGATGGCTGGCTGAAGTGACCCCGAGGACAGCATCAGGCCCCCTCCTGCGGGCTCCAGGGCCCCTCGGGGAGAAGGAGGAGACTGCACACACCGAAGATTCCTAACGCAGACCGAAACAGATTAACTTCCCACCCCGGCCCCTTCCAGCATAGGCGATCTCTGGTGAATTACTTAGCCTCTCTAAATCCTACTCTGCTTTTCTGAAAAACGGGGATAATACCGACAATACCTCGTGGGGGCGCGTGGGGGCGCTGTGAGGATTGAAGGAAATCATGCCTGGAAAGTGCTTGGTGTGTGGAAAGTGCTCAATAAGTGTTCAGTCTTATTAATAAGAAGGCGAGAATGAGTTCCAGCCTAGGAGAGTCTCCCGCAGTCTCCTAGCGCCCACCTCTCTGCTTAGAGAAAACAAACAACCCCGAACGCCCCCTCTCTTAAAAAATCAAGTTCAGCTGAAATCCACAATTCAAGGCCGCCTGGTGGTTCCTTGGGTCTGCTTGCAATGGTCCCCGGGCTCGAGATGGATTTCTAAAGGCTGCTTTACTTCTGCAACAGGGTGTGGGGTTCTTGACTGCTCAAGCTAGGCCTCCAGGCCTCGTGAAGGGTGAAGAGGGAAGCCCCACGAACTGGCCCCCCACCTGCTCGCGCCGCTGCCTCTCACCTGTCGCAGTGCTTCCGCAGCTGCTCCCAGATCAGCAGGATCAGCTCCGTCTTCACCTGCTGCAGCGCGGGGCCCACAGACCCCGATGTGTCCACCAGGATGCACACTCGGCTCTCCAAAACGGCCCCAAACAGTCGGCGGCTCCCTGCTCCGAGGTGGGGCAGAGGCAGGGAAGGAGTGAGGGGTCGCTCCCTCTCCGCCTCCCCGTGGGTGGTTTTCCTCACAGCAGCCGTCAAATAATATGCCTGTTGCCTGACTGGTCACCGATCAGATGTCAGCCCCCTGGGAGATGGCCTTGGTGGTGGTGCTGGTGGGCCGTCAGTTGTCCAGGGCAGAGCCGGTCAGTGGTGTGGGCTTTGGGAGGTCAAGGTTTTAGCTCTGGCTTTGCCTGTGAGCTGTGATCACTTGCACAAGTGGTTATAATTGCTCTGGCCTTGGGGTGCCTGGGAGGCTCAGTCAGTTGAGCGTCTGCCTTCAGCTCGGGTCATGATCTCAGGGTCCTGGGATCGAGCCCCACCTTGGGCTCCCTGATCAGCAGGAGTCTGCTTCTGCCTCTCCCTCTGCTCCTCCCTCCTGCTCATGCTCTCTCTCTCAAATAAATAAAAAATCTTTAAAAAAAAATTGCTCTGGCCTTGAGTTTCCTCATTACTACCATTAAGCGATGGGACAAAGTAGCGTGCCAGTATGGTTTGGAGCTAGAAAAGATGTTACAGAGCGTGGAGTCCCTTAGCAGGACAACAGAAATCAGCAGAGCCTGGAGCTGTGCCCTCATGGAGCTCAGAGTGGGGCAAGGAAGACACATGTTAGATCAACAGTGTCCGGAGCACATCCTGGGGAGAATCTGAATTCGTGGGTGAGCTACCCCTGCAGGTGGAGTGGTAGTGAGCGGAGGAAAGAGGTGGAGGTGTGGAGGGAACAGCCTGGGAAAGCCTGAGCTGGAGAGGGGGAGGAAAGCATGGCGTGCTCCGGGACCGAGAGAAAGCCCACGCAGGGAATCAGGACCACTGGGGTGGAAAGACTCGCGGGGAGAGGGACAAGAAGTGAAGCTAGTGACATGGTGAAAGGACTTGGGATTCATCCCAAGGGGAAAGAGAGGGCCAGTGGTTGGCCAGGGTCACACAGACCAGTGCTGAGGGCTGACACTCACACCCACATCCTCTGACCCACACTTCAGTCAGGCAGCTGCTAGCCCTACCCTCCTGGCCCCAGGGCTAAATATGCAGGTCACCCAGGGGAAAGCCAGAGGGACAGCTGACGATGCATGCTGTCTTCTCCAGTCACACCTCAGGGACCTCACTGGAGGCAGCAGCGGAAACAACGGAAAAACTGCCACAGAAAAGACAGGCTGCTCTCCAGGAAAAGGTGGACAGAGCTGGCTGGACTCCAGCCCAGGAATCCGCCTCGACTCCTCTGGGCTGTTCTCTGGCAACCCTCATGTCAGCATGAGGACAAAAGGGAGCCATCCTGAGGCATGGGAGACGTTCCGTGAGCATGGCTGGCCAGCCAGCCATCCGAGGGACCTCCAACCACATCCGCCCCATAGGAGCTGGATGGTGGAAACACAGAGCCGGTCCTCAAGCCCTGTGGTTTTTGCCTCCACAATCTCTCGGATTCTGCCTCTGTCATCCATCTCCATCATCCCTACTTCTTCCGACGGGCCCTAGTCTTTCGCCTTCCTTTAGCTGTCCTACTGTGAGGTTACCTGATTCCACTCCATCCCCTCAACAGTTCCACATGGCAACCAGCGGGATCACTGCCCATGTTAACTTGATCACTTTCCCCTGATTCACAATATTCAGTGGCTTCCAGCTGCTCTTAGGACAAAAGACTAAATCTGGGCATGGCCTCGTCTCTCTGGGATGGTCTCACCCTAACTCTCCCTCACTCTCAGCTATACCGGCTTCCTTTTTTTTTTTTTTTTTAATTTATTTAGAAAGAGGGAGTGTATGTGTAAGCCGGGAGAGGGGCAAAGGGAAAGGGAGGGATTGATTCTCAAGCAGACTCCTCACTGAGCATGGAGCCCAATGTGAGGCTCGATCTCACCACCCTGAGATCATGACCTGAGCTGAAATCAAATGCTTAACCAATGGAGCCACCCAGGCACCCCTCACATTGGCTTCCTTTTAGTCTTTGTGTTCAGCATCCCCTCATTAACTGCCTCCCTAGCACCTCAGACATGCCTATCTTTCCTCTCTTTGCCCAGCTAACATCTACTCATTCTTCAGATCTTGGCTGAAATATCACCTCTTCAGGAAAGCCCTCCATGATTTTCCTGTCCAGACCTGTCACCCCCTTAAAGGCTCTCCCTGCACCACGCCCATCTCCTCTCTATGCGTCACTCTTGTGACTTTAGACTTATTTGTGAGACTCTTTGGTCAACGTCAGCCTCCTAAACCGTATGCTCCATGAGCTCAGGGGCTGTGTTGGGTGTCGCCTTCCACCATCTCCCCAGGGCCTGACAGGAGAGCAGCCATATTGGTTGAATACTGAATGAATGAGTGAATAAGTGAAATATCCCTGGGTTTTGAAGTGTTGGTGGCGTTTGAAGTATTAGGTGGCATTGGGGTGCGCACCTGTGTGTGAGGCGGGGACTCTGTTCATGGCGTGGAAGGCGGAGGGAGCAGCAGCCTCACTAGTCTTCACACCCTTCCCAGCAGCGAACATGCATTGGGATTGGAGAGAGGCACGCGACCTCTTTGTCATATGTCAGCCTCTGACCTGACAACTACACCTGGAGCTGGCAGCCCCCACCAGGGGCTTTGGGAAGCACAGTCATCGCTCTACTCCACTGCACATGGTCTGTTTTACCAAGTTCTACTGCAGAGGACTGGACCTAATGAATTTGCACAGGATCCTGAGGGCCTCCCCCTAACGACCTCTATAAAAGGCTTCCTCTTTCCTTCTGCCTGTTGTCCCAGGAACCCTTCAGGCCCTAAAGCCTCAACGCCCCCCCGTCCAGCTCAAGCTATCTACCTGGCCTCTCGGACTTGATGCTTTTGGCCATCTCTTGCTCCCCAGCCCACCCTTCTCTAGGATGGGAGCCTGGCTCTTCTGGACCAGCCCTCCTGTTTGCCTGCCCTGAAGAGGCCTTGGTGCTCTTTGTAAAGAACAAGGGGACTCTTCTCTGTCAGGACCCCCTCCCATAACTACATTCATTAACCCCTGTGGGGTCCAGTCAATACTGAGTTGAGCCTCTTGAGGGTGAGCACCTTGGTCACATCCAGGAAGGCAAGGGGTGGGGCACATGGCCTTGCAGGATGGGCCTGGACAGGCCTGCGTTCTCTCTGGTGCCCTTTGACCCACGCTCCTCCCTGACATCCGGCAGCTTGCCTGACCTCGGAACCCAGAAATCATGTTGTGCCTGGATGACGCTCCTGGCCTCACCCCTGACCTGACAGTTTGTGCACCTGGCCTGGGAAAGTCAGGCCCTGGTCCCCGGGGTTGATCTTGCACTTCCCCTCATGCCCTTCCCACCCTCCAGCATGGCAGGCAGGCTCACCGGACAGCAGCCACTGCAGCCTCTGGACATAGCGCCTCATCACCTTCTCTAGGCACGTGATATACGCTTTCATTTCCCTGGGCGTCCAGTGGATGTGTCTCACTATCCCCTGAATCAAGGCAAGCCAAGGTAGATGGCCGTCTGTCAGCTACGTCTTCAGATCCCCATCACCCCCGTAAACGGTTCAGTCAGTTGTGGTTAATAATTTCTAAAACATCTATTAGGCATTATATATTCACTTATAGGCTTTTTTCTTTGATCGAACTACCAGATTTATCATTCTAAAAGGAGAAGGGGAGTTGGGATGATGGTTTTGTGCCAAATATGGTCACTGTGATAATAAAAAAACATAGTGTCTCTAAATTCTAAATTAGAAAACCCTTAATGGTAGGACAAGAAGTCCATAAATGTCAAACTAAAAGATGACCACAGATAGAGAAGGGGACAGACAGTATGATAAAACTCCCTTATAAAATCTTTCTGGTGAATAATTTTGAACTTGGTGGCTACTTCTGGCTTTCTAGTTTCCCCTAATGTTGATAATGTCTTATCAAATGGCAAGAGTAGAAAATGGGGTCTTCTAAGGAAAGAACGCATGATTTGTTTTTCATTTGTACTAAACTTCCTTGTTCCAGTGCCAAAACAAAGAAAAAAAAAAAAAAAAAAACTACCTCCAAACTACAAACTAGAGAACACCGTCACCTCACCCCTGGGGTGGAGAGGGGGAGGGAAGCCCTCAGTCTCTGCCATCCTGATAGAAGCATCAGCAGAATTGGGGTACAGACTTCTGGTGAGCTCTTCAGCTGCTGTCCATTCTCAGCTACTGTTTCTAATTCCCATGCGGTGGGGCGTGGCTAGCTCCGGGGGGGGGGGGGGTTGGGCCCTCCCCGGGTTGACTTTTCCTCCAATGGGATCTGCATTTTCCATTTGCCGAGAGCCATCCCACTTTGTGGACAGAAGCAGGAAGAGAGGCCGTGGCCCAGACATGCACATGGAATTCCCCCCAACACAATGGCCGATTTGTGGCTGATCACAGGGAGAGGGTGGGAGAAAAGGAATGAGAGCAACAAAACCCACAACTCACGTTGATTTCTATGCTGGGCAGGATGCTGCAGTATTTCGTTGACATCAGCCCCTGGACTGACTTCTGATGAGTGCAGCTGGGACCCATGTATCTGGAGATTTCCATATTCAGTTTTTTTAGCCCATAATTTGCTACCCACTTGAGAATAAAGGAAAGAACTATTATCTTGGGTAATAGAGGCTTAAATGAATGATGGTCTGATTCATCTACTAAAACCCTGTGTTTGAAATCTGTCTCGTGCTTAAAATGTGAGGTTCTTAGGTCCTCACTGGGCATCCGTGGCTTGTGGATTCCTTCCCCTGCACTGGGGAGAGAGGCACAGGAAATACGGGAATGGGGAACACCATTTACTGAGCATCTGCTACTTCCAAGTCTGGTGGACATTCCTGGTTCCCCAGGATCTATTTCAAGCCTCTCCCACAAAATTCCACTGGAAAGCCATGATTGGTCTGAAGTTCAGACTCTAAACCAATGAGGATAACCTGAGTCTCTTTGTCTCCGTGAGAGATACAAGGATGGGCAGGATCACCGCCATCAAGCATGGCTCTGGCATTGGCCCCATCAGAACCAAGCTCAGACATTTAAAGAATGGCTGTGGGGAGGGGCGCCTGGGTGGCTCAGTGGGTTAAGCCGCTGCCTTCAGCTCAGGTCATGATCTCGGGGTCCTGGGATCGAGTCCCGCGTCAGGCTCTCTGCTCAGCGGGGAGCCTGCTTCCCTCCCTCTCTCTCTGCCTGCCTCTCTGTTCACTTGTGATCTCTCTCTGTCAAAGAAATAAAATCTTTAAAAAAAAAAAAAAAAAAAAGAATGGCTGTGGGGAGAAAGATGTTCTACCTTCAGGATAGGAACAAGAAGGGGGATTTCTGTTGCTTGCAACCAAAAAGATGGACACCACTAAGTGATCTACACAAAAGAGACTTCAATAGTCATCAATTCTATCAGAAAGAAACAACTGTCTTCATTTTTACAAATGAGGACACAGAGATTGAGTATAGCTAAATGACTTGCCCAAGGTCACCCAGCTAGGAAGTGGCAGGTCCAGGCTTCAAACGTAGGTCTACTTAACTCTTTCCCCACCCACCACATTAAGTAGTCATTGTAAGTAGGTTTGTCCCCACTTCCAAGTACGTCCATCTTTCTAGAAGTGGAAGGTTGGTGGAAGGAATTATTGCCTCAGGGACATGTGCTGGTGCTGAGGACCTCGTACCTCTTGGCTTGAGCAAACTGTATCCTTCCTGGGCAACTGGATGGACGTGCTAACCCTTCGTATGCCCCTTCCTTGAGGGTACTTCTTGTATACGAAGCCTAGGAGAAACAGGGAGGTTATCCTGTACGCCTCCCCTCCCTCCACTCTTCTTCTCCTCCTCTCCCCACTTTGGCTTCCTTTTGCATGTTAATTTCTCTGTCAATCAAGTCAGCTGGAAAATTCCTTAGGGGCAATTTGCTGAAAGGTAGAAGGGAGACTATCAGGGGAAGCAGACGGTAACCTCCCCTCTCCACACCTCAGTGAATCGTTACTAGGATTTCTACCATTTCGCAGTAATCAATGGTGGAGCTGTAGGGACCTGAGGACACTCATCTCCACTCCCTTCTCAATTTCCCCATCAGCCTGAGAGTGGAGGACATTTCCTCTGATGGATGGAGGGTGAGTAGTGTCAAGAATTTGCATGCCCCCTTCCCCGGGCTGGGAGACCTGAGTGGCTTGAGGGTAGGCACTGCTGCCCATGTCCTGGGACAGACAGCTGGAGAGAGTGTCCCTCCCACCGGGCCTGCTGGACCCTACAGTTCCTACAGGGCAACAGAGCTGTTCAGACGTTTGTGTAGTCTCCAACTCACCCACGTTATTCCCCGATTCTGTATAAAAAAGGGAGAGAGAGGTCTCTGCTTCCCTCCACATTGTCTTCCTCCTCTGTTTTGCAGGCCCTTCTCTCGCGGGCCAGGCTGCAGCTAGGGGACAAGAGGCCTGTTGGCTGGAGCAGTCTCGTGGGGTCACGTGGCAATGCTGTCCAACTTTGTCTTAGAGACCTGTGGATTCCAGCTCTGCTGTGCCCTCGAAACTGGGTGCCAAGATGGCTTTGAGGTCATTTGGGATGACCCCAAGCCTTCTGGCCTCCCCTGGAGCAGCAGTAGCTGGAGTGGCCCTTTACCCAGCACTGATGTATCCCAGGTGGGGTGCTAAGAGCTTTCTGGACCCCTGCCTCATTTTAGTCTCCCAGCGCCCCAGGTTACAGACAAGGTAAGAGGGGCTCAGAGTCTGTCAGGGCAGAGCCAAGATTCTACCCAGGTCTTGCTGACTCCACCGCTCTGCTCGGGACCATTCTGCCAGGTCTCTGACCTTGGAAATAAGATACATGACCTTGGTGCTATGAGCTGAATACTTTAGGAAACATACTGATGCCGGTCACGACCAGCTGGCCCTGGTCATTATCCATAGCCCACCTGGGCCTACATGTCTTTATCAGTAAAACAGGGAACGGAGAGATGAGCTGTCCCACGGGAGGAACTGTTGTAAGCTTTCGATGGGACAATCTTAGCGGAAGGGCTGGCCCGAGGTCCAGACTCAGGATCATCCATCACTTCAGTGACTCCTAACTAATTCCTCCTCCACCAGGCCCGCTGCCCCTCCCCCCACCGACCTCCCCCAGCGGGCCTCACCTGGTGGGATGCCTGCTCTGCCGCTGGGGGGCCGCCAAGTCTGAGTGTGCAGGGGGGAGCTCTTCTCTCTGTCAGGGTCATCTTTAAGGCTCTAGAAAACAGGCGGTCTTTCCCATCAGTGGCCTGGTCTCCGTGACAGGCCCAGACTGTGTGTAGCTTACTCCCATCCCAGGGGCTGCGTGTCCAGGAGGCTCTGTCCACACAGGCACTGTCCTCATTCAAAGAACTCACCAGGTTCCAGGAGCCAGACCAAAGACCTCGCCTTCCCCGGACTTCCCAAATTCTGGGATGAAACCCCAGTATCAAACTGACCATTAGGAACCTGTGAAGGGAGGGGCCATCGGGAGCAGAATCTCGAACACGTTGGTCCCATCTCCTGCTGCAGATGTAGAGGAGGACTGCGGGTTTTGAGGTTAAAAAAAAAAAAAGTGTATGCATGTGTGTGGGGTGTGTGTATGTGTATACGTGTGTGTGTGTACGTGTGTGTGTTTAATAACAGCGAGGGAGGCATGCTAGGATGGCCATGGGATTTGCCAGAATTTTCTTCAGTTACCTGCCCTTCTTCCTGCTGGATGGGGATTTTGGGGCCTCCAGCATAATAAACAACCTCTCAGGTAAGTTCCGTGGCCTATTGGGCACGTCCATTCTAAGGGGAGGAGTTCTTCCTCCCTGGGCACAAGGGGAAAGTGATGATGGTTGAACAAAATCACCCAGGGCCCTGGACCACCTCACATGGCTGGGCGAGCTGTTGTGGAAGAGGCCTGGTTGCTGTCCCCCCTGAGGGAGCCCCCAGCCCTGTTTCCAGGAGGCTTTTTGGAGGCCTTGGTATGGCCTGAGCCTCTTCCCGCTGAACCAGCTCAGGAGGCAGCCCCCAAGACTCTCGGGTTTCATCCCATAATTTGCCTCAGGGCTGGCTCCTGGGACCTGGAAGAGTTCTTTGAATGAGATGGCAGTAAGCTACACGGGATCCGGACGGCTTCCCGCTTCCTGCAAATGCCCTGTGTTCACAAGGACCTGTGGGTCAGTGACATGCTGGAGGGCTCGGGATATCTGCCTGTCGGCTTCCAAGCACTGGAGTCGGGGTCCTCTGAGGTCCCTCTGATTTCTGCAGTGCGGTGGACATTTGACGCAAGACAGATGTGACAGGCTGTGATGGGGATAAGGCCCGAGCAGGCACGGGCCCACCCTCAGGGTCCTTGGAGGCCCTGCCAAGCCTTAGGCAGCAGGAGCCCATTACGTACCCTTTGACCCCGAGACCCCCTTCTGGATAAGCCCTCCTGCCTTACAGCCATCAGATGTCTCGGTGGGTGCTAATTCCATGGAGTCCTGACTACTGGCTAGGGAGCAAAGCTGAGATAGCCAGGCAGAGTCAAACGTGGATGGCGAGGAGGCCAGAGATGCCCCCAGGGCTGAGAAGCAGGTCCCCCAGAGGAGCTCATCCCCCATAAGGTCAGGGCCGGAGGTACTCTGGGGACGCTCACCCCTGAACACCCTGCCTCCACCCCTGCTGGGCCTGGGGTTTGGGGCCTGGCCCAGGCCATTTCAAAATCTAGGAAAGACCAGGAGACAAGGTGTCGACAAAGTCCTCTGTGTGTAATTAGGGAGGGGAGTCAAACCATTCTGGCCACTGAGGCAGCTGTGGGTTTGGAAGAAAAGACTTTCTTGGGCTGACTTCTTCGCTTGAATATCTTTGGTTTTTCCTTCAGGAGAACTGCATTTTCCAGTTCTTTTCCAGACTGTTTCTTCAGGGAAGACACCAGTAAGGCACACTGCACGGGGAGATTGGGAGGGTTAGCAGCACCCCCGCCATGGTGTGCCTCCAAGCAGGTGACACCCCTCCACACACACACACACCCACGCACATACCCATCCATCCACACACACATACACACACAGCAGGAGAGACTGGGTCCACTGGGGCTTCTGGACTCCTCTTTCTTTCTTTTTTTTTTTTTTTTAAGGTTTATTTATTTATTTATTTGACAGACAGAGATCACAAGCAGGCAGAGAGGCAGGCAGAGAGAGGGGGGTGAAGCAGGCTCCCCGCCAAACAGAGAGCCTGATGCGGGGCTCGATCCCAGAACTGTGGGATCATGACCTGAGCCGAAGGCAGAGGCTTTAACCTACTGAGCCACCCAGGCGCCCCTCGACTCCTCTTTCTATCCCTAGAATGTCTCTTGGGGCTGAGAGCACTAGGGATCGATCCTATTAATAATAAGCCCCATGTATTATTGGGATGCCTCAGGCACTGAGCTAGTCAATGCCTGGGGGTCTCAAACCCTCTTGCCAACAAGGCATGCCAACTCTGCTTTTAGGGCAAGGGCTATCTTAGCCCCATTTTACAGACGAGGAACTCAAAGCTCCATGAGTTTAAGGGACGTGCCCAAGGTCACACTACTCATATATAGAGGACCTTCAGTTCAAAACCAGGTGTGTCTGGTTCCAAGACAGTGCTTTCCCTACTCAGACCCAGCGCGCGCTACATACGCCCATTGGCTCCCCACATACCCCGGGCCGATGTTGGCAGAATAACGTTTAACACTTGGTGCCTTTTGCCAACACGTTTCTCTACTGCCTGAAAGCTGCCCCAGGGATTCTCCAAGCAAATGAAGTTTGTATGTTGAATGTAAATCACATCCTAGGAAGGGTGGGTTGTACCGTTACTGCCCACTAACGCTTTATAAATGTTTGTCAGATGAGGGAACAGACTAAGGTGCACTTGAGAAGGAGAAAGAAAAGCACCAAAGCAGTGTCCCTCCAGGGAGGGCAGCTGGGGCATGGCTGGGGAGCCACAGATGAGCCATGGAGGCCGTGGAGGGAGTGAACCCGAAGCTATGGCCCTGCCCTCCCAGGAGCTCACACTGTGGTCAGGGGGATGTCGCCCTGCAGTTGGCGGCAATGAAAATGCCGAGTCAGGCCGAGTCTCCTTCATGGGCTCTTACTCCCTCCCCACCTTGACCATGACCCCCTTCATGCTATGTGTCTACCCCCATGGCTTGAACTGCTCCACATCCATCTCCAGCCCCTAACTTTTCGCCCTGTCTTAAGGACCCCCATTGGTCAGCTCCCAAACCCCATAAACTCACCTTTGTCCCAGGCCCACCCTGCCGCATCCCGACGGGATCCTCTCCTGTTATCTCTCTCTTGGTCAATGGCAGCTCTGTCTACCAGGTCTCCCAGCAAGGAACTTGGGAGTTACTCCGGAATTCTTCCTCCTTCCTCTTCCTCTTCCTTCCCATGCTTTCCATCGCCATAAATTTGGTCAATTCTCCCTTAAATGTTCTCATGTCCCTTTCCTCATCCCTGTTCTCATGACTCCTGACACAACCTGGCTCCTTTCTACCCCTCTCATCTCGACAGCATTCTCTAAGGAAGTAACATTTTCGTGAGTCTTCAATGATAAAGGACAACCTATGGGCGATCTGGGAGGGGACGGCAGGCACAGACGCCCCAAGTTGAGGAATGAGTTTGGGAATGAGCTCCCACATTCAAGGACCTCCAAGGAGGCAACGATGCCAGCACACAGACCTTAACCATGACGTGTAGGAAACTCCCATGTTTCATCCAAAGCCTTGGGTGTCAGTGGATCAAGACATGGGGAGGGAAGCAGATAGGGGATGAATTGTGTCCCCCAGAAAAATGTGTGGTAGTCCAAAACCCCTGTACATGTGAACGTGACCTTCCTTGGAAACGGGGTCTTTGTAAATGTAATGAAGATGTAAGTTAATGAGGTTATACTGGAGAATGGTGTGCCCTTAATCCCAAAGGATTGGGATCCCTGCAGGAGAAGAGATGCAGACACACACAGGGGAGGGGAGCCCGTTGAAGGTGGAGGCAGAGGGGCGCCTGGGTGGTTCAGTGGGTTAAGCCTCTGCCTTCAGCTCAGGTCATGATCTCAGGGTCCTGGGATCCAGCCCTACATTGGGCTCTCTGCTTAGCAGGGAGCCTGCTTCCCCCTCTCTCTCTCTGCCTGCCTCTCTGCCTACTCATGATCTCTCTCTCTCTCTCTCTCTCTGTCAAACAAAAAAAGGTGGAGGCAGAACTGGGAGCTGTGTTGACACCGCTAAGGTATGCCAAGGATTGCTGGTGATAAGGACTCTGTCCTTGACTAAACTTTAGTTGGTCTCCTCTGAGTGCTCTTCTTGACTCAGCCTTGACTTTGGCTTATTAAACCAAGTTTTAGCAAAGAATCCCATTAAGCCTGTTTGGCAAGAATCCCCCTATCCTTAATATCTAATTAAGTTCCTCTTAGTAAATTTCTGTCCACTGACCCTTTTGCTATATTGGCTATAAGTTGGCTATAAATCCTTAGCTATTTTGGCTGTATTCAGAGCTGAGTTCCATCTCTCTCCTCTACTGTAGTGGTCTCAGATAAAGTTTCCCTTCCTCTTTTTAACAAGCATCCAGTGCAATTTTTTTTAATTTTTAAAAAAATTTTTATAAACAAATAATGTATTTTTATCCCCAGGGGTACAGGTCTGTGAATCGCCAGGTTTACACACTTCACAGCACTCACCAGAGCACATACCCTCCCCAATGTCCATAACCCCACCACCCTCTCCCTAACCCCCTCCCCCCGGCCACCCTCAGTTTGTTTTGTGACATTAAGAGTCTCTTATGGTTTGTCTCCCTCCCGATCCCATCTTGTTTCATTTATTCTTTTCCTACCCCCCCAAACCCAGGGCAATTTTTTAAAACACCAGCCAGCACCAGAAGCTTGAAAGGGGTAGGGAGGGATTCTCCCCAGAGCCCTCAGAAGGAGCATGGCCTCTCTGACACCTTGAGTTTAGCCTTCTGGCGTCCGAAACTGAGAGGATAGATCTCTCTTGCTTTAAGCCGCCTAGTTTGTGGTCCTTTATACCGCAGCCCCAAGACACTACTAGAGAAGGGCAGTCATTTGCCCCACATCTAAGGCCTACCTTTTGGGAGTAATTGAGAGCCTTTTCCATCTCAGACATGATGGCGTTGATGTCATCGCTTTCGTAAATACCTAGACACAAAGCACACTGTAAGCATGGAGAAGGCGTGTAGATCCCGGCAAGCGTCCACATCTGTACAAAGCCGGGTTGTGTGGAGGTGACCTGAGCTGATCAGCCCCACCTCCACGCCATCCAGCGGTGGAGGGGATCGGCGGGTACAGCGCGGCTCCCAGCAGTGGCGCTGGACCAGCCAACCTCTCACCCAGAGGAAGGATGAATTCAGAGCTATTCCAGTGAATAAAAATACCCACCTTTGTATTATTTGAAGTATCTAGTGTCTGTAGGGAATACTGTCTTCTTATTTGAGAGGGACTGGACTGCAATGACTAAGAAGACAGCTTCTGAATTTGGCCTGCCTATGTTCAACTCCTGGTTCCACCTCTCACTACCTGTGTGTTTTGGGCTGTCTCAGCTTTCTCATCTGTAAAATGGGGATAATAGTAACCCATTTCATAGGGTTATCGTGAGGAACGAATAACAATATATGTAACATGCTTGGAACCATGTCTGGCATGTGATAACTGTTCTAGACAGTGAGAAATTATTAGTAATAGTCACCAATGATAACTTGAATGTGTATGTCTAGCACTTTCCACGGGAAGAGCTGGGTAACAGGGGCCGCAGAGTTCCAGCCCCAGCTATGCCACTAATTTTATAAGCACAGGTAACTCATGTCCCTGGGAGTCATTTCTTAATCAGAGAGGGTGGAATGTACTAGTGCGTCCTGAACCTCAGTCTCTGCTGTATCCCAACAACGTGGGGGAACTTCACCATTTCCCCTTACCTGCATACCACCTAAACCATTACCTCCTTTATATATATTTTACCAAGTTACTTAAAAGCATATGTATTATTGACGTATGTTAGTTTCATGGTACAACATAACGACTGGACTTTTGCATATACTGTGAAATGATCACTATAATGTCTATCTAACATTTTTTAAGACTTTTTTTTAAGATTTTTAATTTATTTATTCGACAGGTCACACGTAGGCAGAGAGGCAGGCAGAGAGAGAGGGGGAAGCAGGCTTCCCACCAAGCAGAGAGCCCGACGCGGGGCTTGATCCCAGGACCCTGGGATCATGACCTGAGCTGAAGGCAGAGGCTTAACCCACTGAGCCACCCAGGTGCCCCTAAGCATCTGATTCTTGATTTAAGTTCAGGTCTTGACCTCAGGGTCATGAGTTCAAGCCTTGCATTGGGCTCTACTCTGGGCATGAGCCTACTTAAAAAATAAATAAATAAATAAATAAATAAAAATTTGTAAAAATAATAAATATATTTTAAAAAGAAAAAAGAAAATTCATGTCACTTCTGACAGTAGAGAGTTAGTGCCTTTTTTAAAAAATTTTATTTATTTTTAAGTAGGCTCTAGGTCCAATGTGGGGCTTGAACTCATGACCCTAAAATCAAGGGTCACACGCTCTACTGAGTCAGGCAGGCCCCCCCCATAAAGTTAACTTTTTTTTTTTAAAGATATATTTATTATTTGAGAGGAGAAAGAGAGAGAGTGTGTGTGAGGGGAGGTGGAAGAGGGGCAGAGGGAGAGAGAGAACCTCTGTGCACGGCTCAGTCTCACAACCCTGAGATCATGACGTGAGCTGAAACCAAGAGTCAGTTGCATAACTGACTGAGACACCCAGGTGCCCCAAAGTTAGCACTTTTTAATGAAATGTTAAAATAAGCAAATAACTACTTAGGGGAGGAAAAAAAAAAACCAACAAACTTTTTCTCTATTCTCTTAGATTTCTCCAGCTGGGCGAATAAAACTGACAAAGACAGATTAACAAGGGAAAAACAGAATATCTTAACATGGGCAGCATGCACACAGGCAGGAGAAACTCAGTAATTCAGAGGGTGTGATTGGAAGTTGGGGCCTATATGGTGTCTTAACCAAGGAAAGCTTGGGGCACCAGGGTGGCTCAGTCAGTTAGGTATCTGCATTCAGCTCAGGGTCCTGGGATCAAGTCCTGCATCAGGCTCCCTGCTCAGTGGAGAGTCTGCTTCTCCCTCTACCCTTTCCTCCTTATCGTGATCTCTCTCACTCTCAAATAAATAAAATCCTAAAAAAAAAAAACAACAACCAGGGCACCTGGGTGGTTCAGTGGGTTAAAGCCTCTGCCTTCGGCTCGGGTCATGAAACCAGCATCCTGGGATTGAGCCCCGCATCGGGCTCTCCACTCAGCGGGGAGCCTGCTTCCCCCCTCTCTTTGCCTGCCTCTCTGCCTATTTGTGATCTAAATCAATAAATAATCTTAAAAAAAAAACAAACCCAAAAACAAAAACCAAGGACAGCTCCTTTGTAGGGAAGTAACAGGACAAAGGGAAGGGGGTTAGGCTCTTAGGGGCAGCCGACTATGGGAAGGCAAATATAGGAAGGGAACTGAGGGATGATGGACCTTGTTTTAGTAAGGTTTGTGGTCTCCAGTGCTTCTCCTCCTCCTCCTGACACAAGAGAAGGAGACACCTAAGATGGAAATTTATGTTCTGCTTTTAGGCAGATGCGGGTGGAAGGAGGGAGGAGAACTGCTTCATTCTTTTCTCAGTTTTCAGCTCAAACTAATCCTGGCACAGTGGCGTATTTTGGGGTGGCATGTTCTGGTTCCCTACAACTATCGCAATAAAAGAAATTGTTGCTCTGTGTTCTACGTTCACCTGTCTTGCCAACCTCCTGCTGTTACCATATCACCTTTTGGGAAGCGCTAAATTAAGGCACACTTAAGGCCCCTCCAGCTGTGACATTCTAAAATATTTTTAAGTCAGGGCACCTGGTCCATAGGGCGAGCTACCCTTGATCTCAGGGTAGTGAGTTCAATCCCCACATTGGGCATAGAGCTTACTTAAAAAAAAAGTAAATAGGGGCACCTGGGTGGCTCAGTGGGTTAAAGCCTCTACCTCCAGCTCAGGTCATGGTCCCAGGGTCCTGGGATCGGGCCCCGCATCGGACTCTCTGCTCAGCAGGGAGCCTGCTTCCTCCTCTCTCTCTGCCTGTCTCTCTGCCTACTTGTGATCTCTGTCAAATAAATAAATAAAATCTTAAATAAATAAATAAAATAATTTAAAGTAGGTTTACTTTTTTTTCTTTTTTACTTTAAAAAATTGTGGTAAAATATTCTTAACCTAAAATGTATCCTTTGGGGGGGCGCCTGGGTGGCTCAGTGGGTTAAGCCACTGCCTTCGGCTCAGGTCGTGATCTCGGGGTCCTGGGATCGAGTCCCACATCGGGCTCTCTGCTCGGCAGGAAGCCTGCTTCCCTCTCTCTCTCTCTGCCTGCCTCTCCGTCTACTTGTGATCTCTCTCTGTCAAATAAATAAATGACATCTTTAAAAAAAAAAAAAAATTGTTTAAAATGTATCCTTTGAACACCCCCCATTTCTTTTGAAGATTTATTTATTTATTTTAGAGAGAAAGAGAGAGAGAGCACAAGCAGGAGGGGCAGAGGGGGAGGGAGAGAGAATCTCATGCTGACCATGTGCTAAGTGTGGAGCCCAAGGCGGGGCTCGATCTCACAACCCTGAGATCAGGACTTGAGCAGGAACCTAGAGTGAGATGTTTAACCAATGGTGCCACCCAGGCGGCCCCCATTTGAACCATGTTTGAAGTGTGCAATTCAGTGCCATTAAGTATGGTCACATCATTGTGTGGCCCTCAGCACCACCGTCTCCAGAATAGGAACTCTGGAGATTTCCGAGTGGGGTTTTTCCCATGCCCCTCGTCTGGAACACATCCACAGCCCAGGGAACTATGTTGGTACCTTCAAGGATGGAGGTCGGGGGGGCCTCCCTACCCTCACGCACCTGTGTCTCCAAACCAGTGGAAGCGCCCAGCAGTAGCCTGGGTGACCTCCCGGTAGGCGGCGGCTGTGTCAGTGCGGCTGGCATAGTGGGCCGGTGGCGTGAGGTCCATCTGAGGCTCGCCCACGTAGAAGAGACACACGTTCAGCTGGAGGTCACAGCCGCCACAGGCCTCAGCCATGTAGGCGCTGAGCAGGGGCTGTGGGGGGAGAGAGGGCAGGAGGGCCCCCGTGGCTGAGGGCTCCTGGAGGGGCTGCTCTCAGGTCCGCAGAGCCTAATCCTCTTTCCTCGGGTCCCGTGGGCTGCCTCGTCTAATATGTGGCACCGAGGAAAGAAAGGTATCTGGGGTTGGACCACAGTTTCTCTCTCTTAATAGGGCATGGCTGGGGAGCGGACCCGAGAGCCTGCCAGAAGCATGGACATCTCCCAGGAGCTTTCGAGGAAGGCAGACTCTCAAGTCCCAGGCCAGGCCTTCCAGAATGCGATCTGCATCTTGATAACACCCCCAGGTAGCTCTTCTGCACATTGACGTCTAGTTTGGAGAATCAGGCAGGCTGGAGAAATCTATTGCTAGGCATCCACCAAGGGGAAGATTCGGGGTCGCAAAGGATGCCCAGGACAAGGCCTACTCACCATGTCCTGGTCAGGGATGCCCCCCGTGAAGAGGTAGATGCCCTGGGACTGATACTTGTCTTTGTCCTTGAAGTCCACTTCCACAGCCTTCCGCAGGGCGCTGAGGACATTCCGGCTTCCCTGACACCGCAGGCTCAGTGCCCACCTAGGGGGCAAGACGGGCCAGCTGAGGGGGGCCAGCTGAGGGAGGCCAACTGAGTGGGGGCCAACTGAGGGGAGCCAACTGAGGGGGTCCAGCTGAGGCGGACCAGCTGAGGGAGGCCAGCTGAGAGGGGCCAGCTGGAGAAGACCAGCTGAGGAGGCCAACTGAGGGGGGCCAGCTGAGGGCGGCCAGCTGAGGGGGGCCAGCTGAGGAGGCCAGCTGAGGGAGGCCAGCTGAGGG